GACCTGAGATTTGCTCACTGTGAAGAAATGATTAGATAAAGCTTAATCCCATGCCTGACGTATTGACATTTGACTCGAAGAAGCATTTTTTGTACAATAAAATTGTGTTGCGTAAGCACTAAAGCAGCATAGGGTTACGTACGTGAATGAGGAGTCCTAGATGGAGATAAGCGACCAAAGCATCGATATTTATAGTACTACTGAGAGCTGTGACGAAAGACGACCATGCGTGTGAATCCAAACAGTTTAAAGATGGAGGCACACGCTTTCCACAATCAATATATATATATATATGTAAATAAATGTAATGTGGTGAACCAGATATACAGGCCTTGTATATTAATTACATGCCGAGGATCTTGTATGGCTTATGAATAAGACTAACTTTTTTATAAATTTTATATATATATATATATATATTGATCATTTGATAATTTGTCCCCTCAGCATCACTTTGGTTTTCATGTTGATTCTTTATCTAGATCTTCAGTTAAGTGATGATCATGAATTTGATTTAACAGTCTCATAGAAAAATATTTTAAGGATGAAAAAATGTATTTTGTGTAATAGTGTATAAATTTTGATGACGGAATGGTATGTTATGTGTAGTTACATGTCTATATATATATATATATATATATGTAAATGTACATATAATAGTATATCAAACTTTTGTATATAAGGGGACATTTCTTGAAGGCCATATTTATTTAACATCAACAAGAGGGAAATTGTGAAGCCCAAATGGTGGGATATTGTGTGACACAGAAAGAATACCGAATACAAAGCGAATCGAGAAACACTTGGTAGCTAATCAGAGCCAAAAGTTTAGACATTAAGCTATTTTATCTTATATGATAATATCTAAAACCAAGTTGCCATATGAAGCCACAAGTGTTCCACATGGGAAGATTTTGATCCAAATTATAAGTTTGGCAGCCAAGAAATGTGGAACGACATGAACCAATAGTCCTTGTTTCCAATTGTTTCCACTCTGGACCATGCCTTTTCCACCGACCAATTTAAAAGATTACAACTCAGAAACCAACTTGGCATGTATTAAGCTGCTGATATATAATGACACTTTTGGTCACAACAATAAATAAAAATATCTTCTTGTTTCAAATAACTTGAACATTGTCACATTATTTGTTTGCTGGTTAATTAATTTAGTGACAGAAACGACGACTGCCAAGTTTTTGCAAAACGTGTCGGTTTGGGGCATAAATCAGTTTTACCTGAGAATTCTTCAGAGAAATTACATGAAACAGAGAAGAATGTGATTTTCATATATGGATCAATGTTGGGACGACCTGTTCTGTAGTGACGAACTTGAGACCAAAAAGGACAAGAATAGAGACAAATCGTATCTGAAAGGATTTTCTGCTGAATGTGCAGTATATATACATATATAATGAGAATCCTAGCTAGATACATATATATAGTTATCTATAGACATAGAGTCTTCATGATTGCGTAAAGCAGGTTCATGCATTTAAGTAGTTTTTAACGATAGAGTAAACATTTTATATAGCTTATCTCGTAAGCGCCAAACACTTGCAGTTAATTAGATTGCCGATTAATAACATTCAGCATGAACCTTTTTGCATGCACGGATACAAGATGCACATGTAAAAGAATTTTTCAGTTTAACTTGTATAGTCGTGTGCATGCATCTTATAACGTTCAAGGATTTGTTTATTGAGTTTAATTAACGAGAATCAATCAAGCATTATGCGTGGGCCGGGACAGCGGGAAATATATTGCATTATTTATATTTCCTCATTTTTCGGAGGATTATATTTGTTAATCAAAATCCATATCACACGCATTTATATATATATATATATATATATTCAATTTGATGCAATTCCGAAGAAACAGATATGCCACTTGATGCAATATTTTTAGCATTTTTCAAAGAAAATAATGTTCAGAAACAAGAGGACTGTGTATCAGTTTGTTTTATAACTTAGCTAGCTGCAATTACTTAGGAACAATTCGTGATTCTTTTTTTTGTTTTAAATTGCTCATAACTAGATATCCTCCTATTTAGAAGTAATTATATTTGAGGCAAGGTCTATTATTAAGTGTAGAGATTTAAATATTAGTTCATGATATTATGAGGAATCAGCCCCTTTCATTATATTCAATTTTCATTGATACAATTCTTTTTCTTTCTAATACAGGACTCTTCGTGTTTATGTACATGTTAAATAATAAAAATGTATCGCAAATACACATATGTTTTTAAATAAAGGCTTATTATAACATCTCAAAAATGCTCATGTTAATTGGCTTACTTTATTAATTATCATATTTTCTTACTGGGGAATCAATGGAGAGCTCATGGAGGTTAGACTTTGGTGAGAGTTACGTAAAGTATTAGGATCCACATATGATCTCGAAACTAAATGATTCAAAGGTGGAGAATTCCGTATCTAACAAAATCCTTTTCAGCTGTTTATAAGTCATATTGATTCGTTTACGTATACACCGATTTCAAAAATTGATTAAAAAAAAAATTTCAAACTTCGATCAATGGCTAATTGGTATAGAAAAATTGAGGCTAAAAGAGATGCACGCTTACGAAATGAATTGATCGTGGTTGTTTTAGGAATTTGTATATAATATAAAAATTATATAACATATTGCACTATTCGTGAACCATGAACTTATATATATTTTAATATCCATGCATGCCAAATCAAATTGATCAAAATTTGAAGATATTATTCCTTCCACATGAGAAGAGATTTGATTGGCCATTAATTAATTTAGCAGCAAACAGAGCCCCAATACAATGGAAGGGGGCTCTTCCTCACAAGTTGGCCAGCAACAGCATATTTTCAAAGTGATATGGGGAAATCAGATCAAATTAGTTGTTTTGGGTTCCACTTCCACCAACACATGCACATGGAAGACATGCACATATACAAGTTCATTCATCCACAAAACATGTCCAAGCATGTCTTGTTGCCTGCCTGCCGCCATGACCTCCAATCTCACTCAGGTTTTGTTCAATCATGTTGCACTCCCTTTATCTTCACATGCTTCACAAATTTAAGTCTTTCATATATTACTTGTGTTGATTTGCAGTTTGATTAATCCAAAAATAAAGAATGAATTACCCAAATGAACTTATGAATCATGGAAAAGATAATTAATTTCTTGATACCTTAAAATATTTTTAATTATTGTAAAATCCTCATCCCAAATTACTAAAACACTAAATCATAAACTCTAAATACTTATTTGACCGAAAAATACTTTAAAAAAAAAAGGCTTAAATCCGAAACTTCTAAAAATAAAGTATCATGTATGTTTTTCTTGCAAGTGTTTTTAGAACTAGTAAGTTAACTAATTTTACTATCGGTGTTAATTTGCACAGCTACTTGGTTAAAATAATATTCTTGTTGTAATTTAAGGATATCTAGTTTAAAGCATTCTTAATTATTACATTAGCTTAGTTGATTTCGTGAACCTGACCAAGTACCACAAAAAAAAAAAGAAAGAGAAGAGAAGAAATACAGGCCCTCTCTCCAGAGTGAGAGACTAGAAAGTTTGACCCCAATAATGAAACAAGAAAATTGTCTATTGGATTTTATTTTTCATGGGCCTGGAGTTCTGACCTTTTGTCTTTGTCAGATGGAGGAAAGGAAAAATGGATGAATTCTTTATTGTCTTTGAAATCCAATTCTTTAGATATTTAAGAATTGAATTTTGTTAAAAAAAAATGAAATAAATGTAGATACTTTTTGATTAAAAAATCTAGAGTTAAATGGAAAACTGGTCTCTAAACTATGACTTCAAAAGTATTTAGGACTCTAAACTTGTTTTTGATATAATATTTTCTTTCAATATTTTAAAATAGTATAATGTGTCATTTATCATTAATAAATATTAACTTTGATCATTCGTTAATCAAAAAATTATACAAAATAATCAAGAATTTATTGATTCTTTTTTGTTATGTTTTGGGTTCTTGTTTATAATTTTTGGTACTTTTTTGTAATTTTCTTGGTCCTTTTTTAAATAACTTTTAAGGCTTTTTTTTGTCATTTTCTAATTTACTAATAGTTAAAGTTAACTTTTGTTAATGGTATGAGCGACATTAATCATTTCAAATGTTTGTAAGAAAATATTATATAAAAAATGAATTTGAAATCCTAAAAACTCTTAAAGATATAGTTTAAGGATGAAATTTTCTAACAACCTCTACCATTCACACGGTTCATTTTTTAAACTTTTCATACAATTCAGTGATTCACATCACACCCCACACCTGCCCTTGTGTAAAAGGCTAAAGGTTAAGACTATCTAAATCGGTTGGTATGGGTAAGCAAACATCTCAATATCTCGCGTCCGTGCGCACAATCATCTAAGAACATTAGTCTTTTGATCTAATAATAATCAAAAACTCGAAACTCTACTTTTTGAAAACAATAAACACACAAGTAATTGACACTGACGAGGCACGAAGCATTTACAATACATATTGTCAATTTGCCACCAACTTTGAGTGTTTTTTTCTCGGTCGAAAACTGAGGATGTATTTGACATCAGAAATTTTCAAGTGATGATTCTTAAAAAGTTCATGCTAGATTTTTTTTTTAAAAAAAAATGTTCGTTCATTGCAATATTTGTAAAACCTTTTTATGAAATTTTAATTTCCTAGTAAACTTGTTATCCACGACATTTGCACTATCCCCAAACATTGTACGAAAATTCTGACTAAACACAATACACAGTAATTTGCTGGGAATGCAAAATTTTGAAACAAAAGTAAAGAATTCTACATTAAAATTAAAATTCCCACATTACCAAACATATCCTCAATGCCAGAAAAACCGGACAAGGTTAAAAAAAATAATAGTAGTCAATAAAACTTGTAAGATGGAGCAGATTTGACTTTTGAGACCTTGGGGATAACTTCCGTGCATTTAGCATTTTTGGAACTTGGATACCCAAAAAAAAAAAAAAATAGAGATACCGCCCTATGAAATAACTGTCTGAGTGTGCAGTCACTTTCACTATGTTGGATCAACATTGCCCCGCACTTGCCTGTGAATGTGAATCTTTGAATTGAATGCAAAAGCACTCAAATAAATAACAAGAATTATAGGCAATCACAAACTATTGTGCTTACCAAGTTCTTACACACTATATATCAATGATGCAGAACTAAATGAAACTCCGATGCTAAACTAACAGTTTCAGAAAAGGAGAAGAGAAGAAAACCATAATGAAGGTTCTGCTCGTATAATTGTAGCAATTACTCGCAGAGCTTCTCAACTGCTGTCACAATCTGCGCAGGTTGAACGACAGTCCATTCCTCCAATGTCCCAGCATATGGGGTTGGCACATCCTGAGAGGATAAACATACAACAGGAGCATCCAAATAATCATGGAAATTTTCGTTGATGGCAGCGGTCAAACTAGCACCAATTCCACCTGTCCTCATGCACTCTTCCACGATTAGCACACGGTGTGTCTTCTTGATTGAATTCCCTATTGTGTAGAGATCAAATGGTTTCAAAGATCTGATATCAATTACTTCAGGATCATACCCCTTATTCACCAATGTCTTGGCAGCTTGCATTACATGATACCTCATCCTGGAATAGGTCAATATGGTTAGATGCTCCCCTGGCCTGACCATCTCAGCTTCTTCAAGCGACAATACATACTCTTCATCTGGAATTCTCTCCTTGAGGTTATAAAGCAGAACATGCTCAAACAGTATCACAGGATTCTCGCTACGAATAGCAGCTTTCATCAAACCCTTGGCATTGTAAGGGGTTGAGCAAGCCACCATCTGGATTCCAGGGATTGACTGAAAATATGACTCCAGTCTCTGGGAGTGTTCCGCCCCTAATTGACGCCCAACTCCACCGGGTCCACGGATAACAATTGGTATTTTGAACTGACCTCCGGAAGTGTAATGGAGCATGCCACAATTGTTGGAAATCTGGTTAAATGCCAGAAGAAGAAATCCCATGTTCATGCCCTCCACAACTGGCCTCAGACCAGTCATGGCAGCCCCAATACCCATCCCTGTGAAGGAGTTCTCAGCAATAGGGGTGTCCAGAACCCTCAAGTCACCAAACTTTTTGGCCAGGTCTTTAGTCACCTTGTAAGATCCTCCATAGTGACCTACATCTTCACCCATGACGCATACAGTGGGATCCCTTTCCATTTCTTCTTCCAAACCTTCACGTAAGGCTTCAAAAAGGAGAAGTTCATGTCTGAAAACAAATATGCATCTGGTTAATGGCAGAAAATAGGCCCTACCACCAAAGCTGGCACGCACAGCAAACTAGGAGAAAACTTAGAGTCAAAGCATAGTTCTAAGTTCAAGCAACATCAACCATTCATGTCTACACTATAGATCATGCCTTAAAGAATGTCCCAAAGGTTTTGATCCCACATCATTGCCCCACATTTATTCAAATAATTTGTTGCAGCTATCCATCAGCCCCATAAGGAACATAAAATATTATAAATTTGCTATTTGCTTAAGAATTAATTAATAGCAATTAATTCTCATGTCTCCCTGCCACTGTCATAAAACAATTTTTCCAAGATCTGATACATAGACAGATATTATAATAAAATATGGCAGCGGATGGCACTTGATTGCTGTTTGTTTTTATTTTAACTTACAAGAGAGTTGAGAATTCTTATGAAGCATGTAAATACACAAATAAAGAACAAGACATAGTAGAAACCTGAAATAATAGGCCAGACAATTGGACTAAATGAAACTGAGATTTTTCTATCAAATGTGTTTTCTATCACCAAGATACTGATGATGACAACAATAAGCAATGCCATATTTAACAACAGTCTAACTGCTGCCATTTCACAGAGGCTATCAGCTTTTTCACAGGACAGGTTACATAGGGAAACTGTTAAGAAAACAAATTACTATAGAAATTTTTATTGGCAAAAAATGGGAACTAACAGACAGTAGTTTATCTGAGCATAATATCTTATAAGGGCAAAGGAGTGGCAAAATAAAATTTTTCCAGACCCAAAGCAAGCATTTGCATTAGATGTACAATACTACCCTCCAGCACCTAGAATCTTTCAAGAAATCTGCCACTTCATAGCTCAACGAGGGGTCTATTAAATTGCAGTTTTAACTTGCCAATATTTGTCCTACAGCATCTTGCTCATGTTTCAAACGTGTGGGTCTACGCAGGAAACTAAATTAAACAAACCCCAAACGTATTAGTTCATAACAAAGCTCAGGTTTTCTTTCCTCCTTGCAGTTTTTCAGATCAAGAATTTAGTTGATGCATTGGAGATTTCATAAATTAAAAAACAGACATTATCTTGGAATTCAACAATCAAACTGCGATGGATGTAAGTTGCGCTTCGTTGCAGTTAACAAAATATATTAAATATATTACTTGGTTCCTTAACAAACAAACAAGTAAAAAGTGTGAATTAGAAAATCAAATTGCTGTACACCGGATCTATCTCATGCTTCAGGAAGCATTTCCAAGCAGACAGAAAATATGCTGCCAGAAGCACAAGTTCCTTTGAACAATATATTTCAAGTGTTAAACAGTTATCCGAAGTTATTTATTATTTACATTTCAATTTCAATTATAGAAGAAAAAACATGAAATGTTGAAGGATTGATAAGGTTGCTAGTTTCCCCCCTCCTTCACTAGCTGATTTGCACTTTTTACATTTTTCATTTACAATGTTTTATTCTTCCATTGATAATCCAAACATTCTAAGTGTGCTGTGTGCATAGCAGAAAACATCTCCGATAACTGTTTGATGAAACGTTAGAGTGAAAACTGGAACAGTATCATCAATTTGAGTTGCATTGGACTGCATGTAAAGCTCAATTTATCACTAGTATACAAAACCAACATAGCTTCCATCTAATAATTTATATCACAAGATATCATCGACTAAAATGATTAAGCAGGAACTGGAAAAGACAAAGCTGAAGCCAGATATACAGAGATATACAGCAGTGGATGAGATAGAACAGTAAGTGGTTACAGTTAGAAACCTACCCAGGTTTCGATGATGTAGAAGCCGCAGAACCATCTCCTTTAGTCTATAGAAAACCCACAAAAAAATTAGGGACGCGACGCCAGCATGAAAACCCATTCGCGTTGGGCTGATAAATAGATTTGGAACGGAGGAGGAGAAAACCAAACTCGGAAAGTAATGGGGGAAAGATAACTTACTGCAACTGCATTGGCAATCAAGCGTTCGGCCTTACGAGCTCCCTCATTGAGGTTCAAACTCGCATCAGATCTGACTGCAAAAATGCCAGATTTCCTCCCTGAATCAGTAGCACGTTAAACCAGAGTGTAAGAATCAACATTAGAGTGAATGACACGATACATGCCCAAAGACAGACTATACTTAGAAATGAGAGAAAAGGAACAGAATTGGAATCATAATCCTAGAATTCCAAAGATTTATGTATCCCAGAAGGCACTGTCTCTGTCACTCTGCAAAAGAGAGTCCAGTAGAACCAATAACTAAATCCACAAGGGCCATCCAGCAAGAAGGACGGCGAAAATAAAGGCACAACGGGAGATAAAAAAGAGACAGGAAGCAAACCTGAGTGGGATCTTGGAGAAAAGAGCCCAAATTTCTTGGAGTCAGGTGAGCTTGAAGCAGAGAAAGCGGAAGCAACAGCCACACCCTGAAGAAGGGTCGCCATTAAATCAGAAAGGGGATCGAAGATGGAAATGAGGAGAGAAAGGAGCGATGGGAATTTTATAGAAAAGAACTAAATAGCAGAGGGAGAGAATGGGCGGAGCAATTGAGAATCGAGATTGCTGAGCTGTGGCCTGAGGGACTCTCAGGTCTTTATAGCGTTGGGTTACATTAACTTTCCCCTCCCTCCCAGTTGTTCGCGAAATTGTGACAAGGCAAGCCGCATAGGTTCCATCGCCCAACCAAAATTGAGATTGCCAACACCGATGGCCTCTGTTACGAGTACGTTTGTTGTTGTTATTGTCTTTTTTACTCATTTCATCGTTTACAATAAAATAAACTATTGTTGTTAACAATTTAACGTGGTTAATCAGGTTATGATTTCAATTTATCTGGTAAATGCTAATTACTCTCTTCCAGGTTCAATATAAGAAACAAAAACTACATCGTCAAAGTTTTAAAGAAAAACGGTTATTCTTTTAAAATATGTCATAAATTGTTTTTCCCCCAAATTTAATCCTTGAATTTCTACCTGGTATTATTTGATCATTCTTACTTCCTACTCACTCATGTCTTAACTGTAGAAAAAAGTTAACAAATTTCATAATTCTTGAGAAATAATAATCAATATCCTTCAATTTATAAAAATGTTTGACTTTCTAATTTTACCTTTCTATAAAATTGCATGGTGCAACTAAGAAGGTTTAATATTGAGTAAAAATAATTACTACATCTTTATCCTATGTTTAGGACTAGATAGGGCTCTAAAATGTTGTCATATACTACATATAGACCACAATATCTAACATATTCTAGAGATCATGTTGGATTAAAAAAAAAATATAGAGCATGGGTAGTTTTTGTAATTGTTTTTAAAATAATGCATTAAAATTTCAACTATTATTATTAAAATACTTGTATAAAATATTTAATCAGAGTATAACTGAAAAGATAGGTAAAAATTTTCAGAGATTAGGATTTTATTTTTTTAAAAAAATTATGAAATAGTTATCAATATTTTTTATTATGATTTAACAGGAGTAATTAGGGTTAGAAGTGACCCTTCTAAATTAACAAAGTACATGGTTGAAAGAATGAAATATACGCGCTTTGTTTCTTCTAATTTGAATCAAAATAACTCTCTCAAAATTCTTTTATATTCAAAACTTAAGTTTGCCACAAAGCTGATAGTCTAATTTAAGTGGCAAAATTGTGACTCTGTAGCATAATTACAAGCCAAAAGAATGAATATTATCAAACGAATAGATAATGATTAATTTTCAGGTAAAATACACAAAAATGAAATGATATCAAATTTTATTTTCCATCATTAATTAATATTATTTTATTTATGCCTCTTTGGTTTAAAATTGTTTAGATCGAGAAAATAGTTTGAGGGCCCACAGCACATGCAGACGCTGCTCAAGTTGTTGGTTAGAGTCAGGATCATTTAGGCCAACAACAACAAAGCAACTTTACGGCCTGTTTGTTTAGTTTTTTTTTAATAATTATTTTATACAAAGTTTAAGGTATTTGTTTAAGATTTTTAAAAATAATTAAAATATAAAAAAATCATATATATATATATATATATATAATTATTTAGAGAAGCTAATCTGAGTAGCTTATTAAAATAAGCCCCACAGAAATATAAGCGATGGCATTTATAGTTGGAGTAGGGTTATGAAACATAACTTGTTAAAGGCAACTAATAAATACTTTTTAAAAAATATAAAATATTTTTAATTAAATTTTACTTCCCAATGAAATATTTACTTATTTTTAATGAACTTTATTTTTTTATATTTACTTTTATTTAATAAAGTATTTGACTCTAAAATAAATATAAAATAATTTATTTAATAGGAGCATTTAAAAAAAGATAATAATTATATCTTAAAAGATTAAAAAAATACCATATATTTTTTAATATTTAATCTCTCAAAAAATGTATTATATTTTTTAAGGAAGGGAGTATGTAAAAATTTTTTCTTCCGGTTGGAAGCCAACATCATTTTGGGTTGGTAAATATTTTCTCAACTTTCAAAACTCTTAATTACTCTCTCCGTCCATATTTATAAAATGTTTTTAATCATATTACGCAAATCAATAAAAGTTAGTTATCTAACTAAAAGCACAACAACATTTTAATTTTATTTTTAATTATTATAAATAAAAAATGAAGGGAGAATGACAATTAAGAACCTTCTAAGAATATTAATCTTAATTACGGACCATGAAATTTTGAAATTTCAGTTAAGGATCATGATCCTTAATTGTGATAAAAAAAATATAATTTGTGAGATGAGATTCACTAACGCAACTTGAGAATTCACTAACCTAACTTAAAAAAATTACTAATGTATATTGTGAAAACATGAAATCCCACTTGAGAATGGAATGTTTAACAAAAAATGCCACTTAAAAATTCACTAACTAGATTTGAAAAAATTTCTAACGTATATTGTGAAAAAATGAAACCCTACTTGAGAATCAATTGTTTAATAAAAAGTGACTTGTCTAAATTGATTTTTTTTTATTAAACAATCAATTCCCAAGTGAAGTTTTATGTTTTCACAATATACGTTAGAAATTTTTTCAAGTCGAATTAGTAAATTCTCAAATAGCATTTTTTGTTAAACAATTAATTTTCAAGTGAGGTTTCATGATTTCATAATATACGTTACAAATTTTCTCAAGTTGGGTTAGTAAATTTTCAAGTAGTAATAGTGAATTCTATCTCACAAACTACATTTTTTTATCACAATTAAGGACCATGGTCCTTAATTAAAATTTTAAAATTTTATGATCCGTAATTGAAATTAATGTTCTTAGAAGATCCTTAATTGTCATTCTCCTAAAAATGAATCTCTTTTTTTAAAGTAAATTAATGAGAGTATTTATCTTTTTTCTTTTCAATATAATAAGGATATAATAGTCCATTTTTTAAAAATATGCTAATAATTTTTATATTTAAAAATAAAAAAAACTGAAAAACTTTTTATATATACAAGGACGGAGAGAGCATGTGATATAAAACTACATAAAATTAAAAGCGAATGGCGAGATCCTGTGTTCAAATGATCATCTCAGCGGCTTTGACTCTGACGAAGATATTAAGTACACGTTTGAAATTAGGATTTAAGCACGTGGAGAATGAATGTTAAATTTGGGAGAGGAAGAGGAGGAATCAAGTGCCAAATTGGAGAATGGATGTCAGGCCAAAAAATAAAAAAATTGGATAATGGATATGCTGAAATTAAGAATGTGTGAATTTAATGAATTTTGTTTAGAAAAATTAATTATTTAGTTTTTGTAATTTTGATCCAGTTGTAATTCAATCCCTAAATTTTGACTTATTATAACTCAATTTCTGAAGTTTTGACTTGGTTGTAAATCAATTCCTAAACTTTGTCTCTTACAATTTAGTTCAACTTCTTAAATATTGATCCCTATATTTTAAAAAAATAAAATTAAAAAATTAAAAAAAATTGGAACTTTTAATATTTATAAATATTAAAAGAGTTTAGTAATTTAAGATATTAGTAATAAATATTTTTAATTTTTATAATTTTATTTTTTAAAATCTAGGGATCAATATTTAAGAGATTGAAACTTCAGGGACTAAATTATAAGGGGCAAAATTTAGAGATTGATTTATAATTGAGTCAAAATTTTAAAAATTGAGTTATAATGAATTAAAGTTCAGAGAATGAGTTATAACTGAGCCAAAACTATAGAAACTAAATGATTAATTTTTTCATTTAGTTTTTTTAAATAATAGAGGGAAGATTTTGTTGTATGTGTGTCAAAAGTGTGTGTGTCGAAGTCCCACATTGACTAAAAAAATGAATCTCCTAGTGTATATATACTAAGAAATGAAGTGGGCTAGTAAATTGGGCTTGGAGGAGAAGTGGCCTCGCGCACATGAGACAGGCCAACTTAGGGCAATCACAGTTGAAATCAATCGATTCGCCCCCCTATGCGCCAGTTCAAGAGGCAATGGGTTCCTTTTACTGGGTTATTTTTACAAAAATAATTAAATAAATAATTATTTTTAGCTTACCTGAAAACCTCTACTTTTACTGTTTCGAATTTGAAATTGAAGCCTTGGCAATTTTTCAACATTAAACCTCTTCTGAAAATCAATTTTGTGAGTTAATTTTTTGTCTGCCAACATCTCCAAATAAACCGATTTTGTGAAGTTAATATTTTAAATGTTTTGCCTGCCAATGTTTCTAGACAGAGGCTTAACTGAGATTTACATCTGCATAACCCCCAGACAAGTGCTTAAACATGATTTATGAGAATGTAACTGAAGCTTTAATTCGATGATTATGAGCCAACATTCATGTCTCCTTCCTCGGGCTATATATAGCCTTAGGTATGGACAAAACACGGTACCAGCCTCTTGAGTTTTTGGGGCAATTCTCTCCTCCTTCTGTCTTCTGTTTGTCTATTCGTCTGTGTTTGCTCTTAGTCTCTGTTGTTTTGTTCCCTTGCTCCGCTGCAGAAAGTGCTTGTTTAATTCGGAGGAACTGCCGGTCCGTCGTCCAGGTGTGCCGGAATAGTTCTTAAGGACAGTATCCTTCTGGGCACGACTCAAGCAGTTTGAAGTTTGCTGTTCACGTTTGCCGCCAGTGTCACCAACAATCTTAAGAACTACCCAACCCAATGGCGACCAACAGTGCTGAGAATGTCGCTCCTGAAGGTGTGCCCAGTGGTTCGGCTGGAGGTCAGTACGTCCCCGTCGCTGTTGCTGTCCCCCTACCGAGGCCATTCCTAGACATATCAAAGATAGAAGTCTTTAACGGCAGGAACTTCAAATGGTGGCAGGAACGAGTCTGCACCGTTCTTGACATGCATGGTGTGGCCACTGCTCTTACTCAATCTAAGCCTCTTACTGATACTGATCAGGCCCAAAGAGTTGTATGGACTCATGCAAACAAGGTATGCCGACACACTATGATTAGCACTTTATCTAATGATTTGTTTGATGTCTACTATGTCTACAAGGAAGCTTATAAGATATGGGAGTCCTTGGTGATAAGGTACACTGTTGAGAATGCCGGTAAACAAAAGTTCATTGTGGGCAACTACTACAAATGGGAGATGACCCAGAACAAGGATGTGAATGAGCAAATCAACGAATATCATAAGCTACTGGAGGAGCTTCGTGCTGAAAACATTGGCCTTCCAGACGAGTTCGTTGTTGGGATTCTGATTGAGAAATTGCCAGAATCTTGGTCTGATTA